CAAACCATTCTGTGATTCTATGAAAACACCTTCTCCCTATTTTTCATATTTTTCTGATATTTTAGTTGAAACAAGAGAAAAATAAACAAAACCACAAGGCAAGCAAGCAGCTTTCTTGTAAGCAGGCAAAGTTATGAGCCACAAAAAGCAGTAATAAATGAGGTAGCTTTAGCAGTAACACTTTACAAGCCTGTGAAAGACAAAGATCAGAATTCTGCTAGTGTAGGTCCAGCAAGACCTTGGTGTTAGAGCAACAAGTGACACCGAATTCTAATATTTTAAAATCCTGCATTCTAAACTTCTGCCTTCAAATCCAGAGTGAGTGAATTCTCACTGCATTTACACCATGGAGCTGTATCTGGAGGGGGGGTAGAATGTGATCTCTGAAACAGGACCAATTGAAACAGAAACATCAATTGGCAGTGTTAATTAATCATTCTAAAACTAAAGTTCATTTTCTATTGAATTTTGAACTTACTTGATGACCTGATGCTGCCTTGTGTTCCCACCGCTTCCGTACAGAGCAACATTCACATATCCTTGAGTTCTACTGGTTCCAGAGAGTGTCACAGTTACTTTGTACCTCCAAACTACACAGAAGAAATACAGTAAATTAGACTGTACCCAGGGAGAAACAGTCTCCAAAATATCAAGTGTTGGGGTTTTTGGTCTGTACAGTAAATTTGAAGCAAAAAAAACTTCTCACTGCCTTTCACTTTCAGCTCAAGGGTACATTGCAGACTGCCTGGACTGAAAGGGGTTAACACAATGCTCTCTCACACCTGAATCTTGGTGCTCCCTGCTCTTCCTTGGATTATAACCATGCAAAACAAATACACAACACCTGTGAGTCAGATCTGTCATTATGTCCTAATGAGATCCACCTGGGAAATGGGTACACAATTGTGTTACTTTCTGGGAGGAAAAAAACCAAACATAGTCCATAACACGGTGAACACAATACAGATCTCAGCGTTTTGACCACGAAGTTTTTCATATACAATGAAGTTGGAAAGAAGGAGGTATTAGGAATAAATACTGATATATACCAGAATGTAAGCGGTGTAAAAGGAGTATAAAAAAATTCTGAAGCTCAAGGAAAATTATTTTTGTGGGTGGGAACTTTCTTTTAGCACACAATTTGCAAAAGCAGCTCTTTTCCCTCTGATTCTTGTTTACAAAGGCAAAGGAAGAACCATCCTGTGGGAGCTAACATTTAGGAAAACCTGTTGTAAAGGAGGTCATCTGGTCCATCCACTTCTCAAAGCCGGGCCAGCTGCTTCTTCTTGGTCTTTGTCAAACAGAGATTAGAACATCTCCAAAGATGGAGATTTCCCAGTTTCTCTGGGCCACTCTTCCTGCATTTAACTATTGTCATTGTGGCAGTAATTGTCATACTATTTAATAAGAAATTCCCTTGCTGCAACTTCTGTGCATTGCCTATCCTACCTTCTCCTTGCACCTTGTAGTACAGCCCACTAAACATCTTGGTGACCCCCCACTGGACTCTACAGTTTGTCAACGTCTTTCTTGTACTGGAGGCCCCAAAACCAGGCACTAGTGTTGAAGCAAAAGAGGAAAAGGCATGAAAGACGGAAGAGCCGTTGCACTGCTATGAGGTCTGTTCATCTGTTACAATTAACTGTAAAACAGGAAAATGAAAAGGCTTGTTTACAAGGAGTAGGTAGCAATGGAAATAATCAAAACTCACGAGCAAAGTCCTTAGACTCTCCGGTATTCAGGTAAAGTTTTGTGAAATCACTTTTAATCTTCCCTTTGAATCTATCTGCATAGTGACCCATATTCGGGCATCCCTCTCTTGGGCATGGGAAACAGTTTCCCTAGTGAAAAAAAAATAATATGTCTATTAATAAAATTATCCAGCCAGCCAAGAAAAATAAATTAGTCATAAAATTTATTTTTAACATATCCACCTAACTGGCACTGTATCACAGCAACAACAAATTTCAAGTAACCCTTTCTGTGGCTTGAGAAAGATCATACAAACCAGCCAGCTTTCTCAAAGGCTCTGATTTTCATGGCTCTATGTTTTTCCCGTTCCATATAGCTCAAATCAGCCACATCAGTGACATCCTTGAGTAGTCTTGAACTGGAGCAGAGAGGGAGTGTCCTTCCCAGCAACAGAATAGAAAGAATTATGTCTCCTTATACCTTTGGGTTGGATCAAGAAAGGCCTTGTCTTGAAAACAAAGCTCATTTTTGTCATGGGAGCAGCTTTCTACCACAGTAACAGAAGCAAGTAGTCACCTTCTCCCAAAGTGACCTGAGCAGTATGATCTCTGCCACCTGCCCAGAATGCATAAAGGTTAATCTAAGCACTACATGAGTCAATCCCTGTCTGTGCTGACTGTAGTTTCCAACTTTGACCCAAGTCAGCTGCATGAGCTATAGTACTTTACAATGTCTGACACTTCTCTTACACATGCACGAGTTGGGTACAAGCTTGCATAAATAAATTGAAATTCAGATGTATAGGTCAGAGCCACTGTTTTTGATATGGTTCCGCCTGAGGCTCTGAGAAATACTTACGCTTTCGAAACCATCATATGAAGCACAAGCATAGCCTAGGAATCCATCAGGGTAGATAATGCTGTCAGAGTAATACTTGTAGCTCCGCAAATGATTGCAAGCCACAAAGTCCCGAGTTCCTGTGAAAAGATGCCCTCAGGTTAGTTCTTCCTTTCTGCTCCCATTCAAGGAAAGATACTGGCACAACCCTTGCCATGTCATTGGGATGCATTGTTCCCCTCAAAAGCCTCTTCACAATTCTTGGAGTACCAAACATAAGGTTTGAAGCTTGCTTTTGCAATAAATTGGTGCTCTAAGGAATGTCACTGACTCAACAAGTATAACATGCAGACTTAAAATGCTTTGTGGAGACCAGCTGTGCAGCTCAGCCTAGCCCCTACTCTCCCCTCCACTCACACTTACTCCAGCAATTCCGACTGTGTTTCACAATAGAAATGGAAACTGCATGAAGCAGGTCTTTTGTAGGCAACAGTTGCATTACCATAACAAAAGAAAACCCAGTGAAAAGTACTTAACAGTGAACTTCCTAGGGCAATGGTGATTTGCTCCAGCTGAGGACTTCAAAACAAAATTATTATTATTTGGGGGGTGCTTAAGGGAGGGAGACTCTTAAAATTAAAATAATGAATATATTATTTTCCTTTGTGCTGCCTTTATTTTCTGGACTTTAGGTTAAAAAGAAGATCATATACAACACAGTTATTTCTTTGTGCTTTAATTCCCCATTATTGATAACAAGTTTTCTCTATCAAAAAAAAAGAAAAAAAAGAGAAAGAAAAAGTAATGCCTCCAGCTGCATTGAATAAAACCTGGAGAAAAAGGCTAGTTATCACCAATAAGTTAATGGAATCCCAGAGTGTAAGGTGTTTGCAGTAACATAAGAAAGAGCTTAGATAATATACTGAAGAATGTCTACAGCACAAATCTTGGTTTTGTTTGGTTTTTTTTTTAGTGTTATGTACAATTTAACTTTATAGAGTCACATAGAAATTTTCTAATACTTAAAGCTTCTATTAGAATCATGTAAAACAACAAAGAACAGTGTATTTGAGCAGCTACGTGCCTGTCTTTTTTTAGCTGACTAAAAATAGACACGATGAGGTTGCTTGAATGTAGTCCAGATTGTAATAGGTAATTAAAAAAATAAATGAATTGGTCTATCTCAGAAGAATTGCAGCTGAAGATCCCCTAAGATCCTAAGAAGTAGCTGGGAGCATCATTGCCCTACGCCACCCAGTACTGCTGCTGGGTAACTAAATAGAAAAAAAAATTAAATGCGTTGTTACAGACCCTTCAAAATTGTTGGCACAGTTTCAGAAACTTTTGTTTCTGCTATTAGATAGTTTAGAGGAGGCATATTTCCAGAGGCAAACCCTTTGTCTTGTTTATTTTTTTAATAAGCTCTAGAAAATGGTGTGTTTGAGCACATTAACAATTTCACTGCACTCTGCAGCTGCTGTTGTGGGTGGGTGCACTGAAAGCTAATGCAAACCGTCTGAATTAAGAGAAGTTAAGTGGTTACATTTTGAGGGTGACCTTCCTCTGAATTGATAATGCAATGAACATACTTACCTTCCCAGATGCCATCAATATCTACGATCTGTGAAAGAGCATTCTTCGCACATCCTGGCATCTCCTTTCCTCCATTTGGATAAAAGTCAAGATGTCCTATAGCTGCCATCATGCCAAAACCTGAAACATTTACAGTGAGGGTAAGCATGTTTTAAATTAGCATTGTCTCATGCCTATAGCTCCTTGCTTGAACTTTGTACTTAGTATGTTAGGATATGAGCTGTTTGTTGACCAGTATGGTGTATTTGTTCTGTGTTTGTGCATCACCTGGCACAATGGGGTCTTGAAGAATGATTAGAATACTTAAGTGCCACAGGATATAAATAATTTGGTATTAATGTAGTAGAGCTGAATAATCACCTAAGTAGGGGACTGTGGGAGCTGAATCTGTGTGGATAACATCAACAAACTCTGCATCAGTTTTATCCAGTCTGACTTCAATGGGAGTGCCTTCAAAATAAGGTTGAGCAGGGTCCAGTCCTGAAAGAAAAAAACTACTGTTATGTACAGATAAAGAGATACAATCATAGTATTATGTAAAGTAATATCTATAATAAATATCACACATATAGTTGTCTATGGTTCCTTATAGCTAAGTAGCATAGGCATTAATAAAATGATGATGTGTGTTCTCTCTTACCAACTGCTTTTTCTCACAGGAAGGAGAAAGGGCTACCTGTGTGAAGCCTCTTAAATTTTACTGATTTACATCAATATTAAATCACAACAATTTTATGTAACTTTTTGTTTCCACTTGAAGTTCCCTTTAATAATGTTGCTCAAACTGAAGTTGCTGTGTCTGCATCCCATATAAGTGGTTTGACTGTGTGGTTTCTAGAGTATCTTGTTTAAGAGTACTCAAAACAGGAGCTGAAACCAGCCTGCCTACTTCTGGCTCCAGTCAGATTTTGGAAAAACATCTAGTTTTGGTGTTACTATCTTTGCTTTTGATCCCAGCAGAAATCAGAATTAATTAACTGCAGCAATTTCAGGAGCTTGTAAAGTCTTGCAAATTGCACAATTTTTGTTTGCTACCTATACTTGCATCTCTTCTTGTCCCTGGGCAGCAGATTTGGGTTTGCTTTTAGGCTGAATTTTGTAGACTATTAGCCAAAAGTTCACCAAGCCTGTAATCCCTGAGGAAAAGCAACAATTGAAAAGGGCTGTGTTAATAATATCCAGAATTGTCTTTTGTGTATGAAAGGTCACTCTCCTCAATGCACGCTGCCCTTGGCACTGCTTGCATGATGAATAAGGAGATCAAGCCCATAGCCTTAAACTTTGAAAGCACTGAGCATGTTAAAAAAATTCCTGAAGAATGCAAACTGCAGGGTGAGTTATCTGTATCTTGAGAAAGGAGTGGTTTGATCACCAGTTTAGCTGATAATACCTCTTCTCAGTTTTGTTTTCTTGGAGAGTGTTTTTTTTTCTTGGAGAGTGTTTTGCAATACTCAAATGGCATCTCTGCTTTGTGAGTTCTGTGGAATATCTTTTTTAGAAATTACTACATGTTGCCTATCTTATTGACATCTGCTTTTTTAAAGAAGCAGTTAAACAATTTAAGAAAGATGAGGGTTATCCCCTAAAGAACAGCGCAGGGATACGGTGAGTGGCTATGCAGTGGCTGTGTTCTGCTGATGCTCCTGCTGCAGGCAGACGGCTGAGACAGCCTGGGCCTCCACAGAGCTTTGCTTTGCGCATTTTTGTCATTTAAGTGTTGCAAAATGGTGGCTTCAAGAGTCATTTGCTCTCAGCTGGTGTGGGTAGAGAGCAGATTACAAGCCAAAGGGTACTGAAAAATGAAAACTTGCTGTTGGATCAAAAGGAAGATGAAAAAGCTTCTGGCCAATAGTCACAGAAGCTTGATCCCTTATATCTTGCAAGACACAGACACTATTTATGGGACCAGTGGAGGATGTGCAGAGTCTGCGTATTCAGAGCAACATGGGGACAGCTATAAAGCAAAACAGCACCAAAAATGCCTGCTCTGAAAGAATTGAACAGGAAAACCTCAGAGCATAGAGTGTGTAACTTGCAACAGGGAAAGACAACAGCAATTCAGTGCTGGGGACATGAAAACTGAATCAGTACGGGTGACCAAAAATTAAGAGAACAACATCGTATTCCTTAAAAATATCTAAACGCAGAAACGTGGGAGTGCTTAAAAGGGACAAGCTGCTATTTAGGAATATAGTGAAAAAGGCGGGGGGGGGGGGGGCGGGGTGATTTCTGATCAGTCAGCTTCAGTGCTATCTGGAAAGTAAGAGTGAGGTCACATAGCTCTAACTAATAAAGGCTGTCAAATATCATGCCTCTGATCTCTCTCAGAAAAAAGAAAAGGATGAGGGAGACTCAATTGAAATATGACTATTTAAGTATGAATGCAGTTTCTTAGTAAATCTACTTAAATCTGGACAGACAATGTAATCCTATGTGACTCAATTTTTGCTGCCAAGGAAGTACAGAGATTTAGTGTATCAACAGTTAAGTGAAGAAATTAAACTTCAAGAAGTTTGCTGAAAAAAAAATACTGTTAATGTAGTATACTAAGTGAAAAGTTTGTGTAGACATAGAAAATCAAGGTGCTAATGGATGATATATTGGGAAGGTTAGCCTACTGCTTCTGGAACATCAGGTTTAATCTATCCTTTTCTGGAAAATGCTATTTGTTAGCAAAACTACAGTATAAAATAACGAAGTGCTCACTGTTGTGCCACTTCTAGCATGCTTGGGAGGGACCTGCAAATACTGGGTGATGATGTGCATTGGAGGTGCTGCTATATAACAGGCCAGATTAATGACAGATGAAAATGCAGGAGAAAAGCTGCAAGGACAAGGAAGGTCTGGCTCCGTTGCTGTCTGGAGCCTTTCCTTTGCTGTGTAAACACAGGCCAGCAAACTGATCACCCCACTGACTCTGCTCCCAGGCTTACCAGGGCACCCCTCCCCAATGTACCATGAGAAGGGGCTAATTTCTATAATGCCCAGACCACTCTCGACTAAACTGCAGCCCACAGTCAGATACAATCGTAAGGAAATAAGAGCAACATTTAGTTAAGCAGTGGTGTCTTCAGTAGGATCTGTGACTGAAGTCACTGACTTACCAGTTATTCTTCCAATCCCCGGCCTCCTCTTGCCAGCCTCGCCTGCCACATGTGCTCCAAGGCTGTGGCCAATTATGTGAACCTTGGCTGGAGAATATCCGTATTGTTGCTGAGAAAATAGCAACAAAAAAATTTTTACATCTGTTTTCATCAGCAACAGGGAAGGGTAAATAACAGCTGAAAAGCTACTTTTAATTTGACTACAAACTCAGGAGCTCCTGTAGGGTTTTAGCATCTGTTTGACCATTTAGGTGCTTATGTCCAATACATAGATTTTTCAAAACTCCTTATTCAGGTGATGCCCTCATTTGGAGGCTGTTAAAACTCTAGACAGTTCTGTCAACAGAGTCCTGAGAGGCTCTGTATCGGTTTGACATCCTAGACCCTTTAAGGTTCATAGGACGCTGATCTGGCTTGCAAGACTCAGCCAGGCAGGAACTCCTTACAGCTGGCAGGTCAGGCAGCTGGAGGAGGACATGAGAGGGGAGATGCCTGCAGCCTTTTTGGACAGTAATTCAGTGGCTGCAGTGTAGATATGGAGAGGGAGATGTGGCCAGAGCACTCCTAGACCCGGCGTACTATCAATTTAAGTAATTTGTATTCTTTTATGGGAAATGCATGTTGAAATCAGTTAGATTAAAAGAAGGCTTCAAACCAAGTGTTGCTTCCCATGTGAAGCTGGCTAGGAAAGGGGGCATGTGGCACTTTCCCTAGATTTATTCACTGTGCACAGCTGGGTGGGTCCTGTTTGTCACCGGAGAGCCGTTGTCCTCCAGCCTCTGGCTGCCAGCTGATTTTCTGACATCCTTAAGAGCCCTTTGGTAGAGCTCCGTGACGAGGCTGTTTGCCATGTCTGTTATCTCTGCATATTTAGAACTGTACAACACTTCACATCTGTTAACATCTGTGGAATAACCTGTTGATTGTACTATGGCGTTGTCTTATAGACCTTTGTGTCCCCAAGCTGGCTAACCCTGCTATTATGACACAGTCCTTTAACTTTTAAAAAAAAAAAAAAAAAAGAGGCTGTTTTCAGCACTACTTCTAAAATGATCACTGAGTAGAAGAAAAGGTTTTCTGCTGGTTACATTCACATTCATAAAAGCTCCTGAATCATATTTCTTTCAAATCAGCATTATAACTAGAGCTTTATAACCAGAAGATTCTTACCGTGAGAACATCTACAAAATAAGCTATTTCAGCACCCACAACACGGATGTTGTTCGATGCCTGGGTGTACGGACATCTTGCGCCTTTTTTCCAGTCTACACAGATGCAGTTCACATCTTCCACAGAAAGCATCCTCTGTTTTGCAAAACAAAAGTGAAAACCAAAGAGTCCCACAGTAAATCTGGAATTGACTCATGTTGCTTATTACAGCTCAACTCATCAACGTTCCGTGAATTTGTATGAGAACATTTTAAGAAGCAAAATCTTAGCACGTATTTGTGGTCATACCTGCACACAGGTGTACGAGCGCTCACACAATGCTGAAAGAGGGTGGTGTGCTGTAGTGACAACCACACCATGGTTTCAAATGGCCATTGCAGTATTTTTTGCAGAATGGGAAACAATACAAATACTGACACTTTTTAATTTCAATCAAACTTTGTATGAAACACTAAATAAGAGCTCTAGTCACGTACTGATTCACTTAAGTGATTTAAAAGTACTTATTTAATTCAAATTCAATTAGAACCTCTATTTTTGATTATAAAAATCAAGACTGTTTTTCTGATACAGATTTCTAAGAAAGAGAGTGTGTTCTTATAAGATGGTGCATAAATTGCTGGTGTCACTGAATATTCATTTCGGATTTATGGCTTTATTTGGCCTTTATATAGGCAGACACTTTATTATCTGCCACAGCATCTGAAGCTTTGCTTTTCTTCTCTGAGCTGCATTGTTTGGCTCAATGTATTTTGCTTTAGCAGCTTTGCTATATTTATTCTTTGCTTTATGTTCAGACGTTATAAAGCATCCAAAACAAGTTATAACTAGGAAAGGACAAAAAAGGCAATAGAAGTGGTAAAAATAAAGGTGCAGATAGGATTATTACTTAATGGGAAGGAAAACAAATGACAGATAATCCCATTTGCTGAACTCTTTTTAATGAAAAAATTCAGTGTGACCGTTTTTTGTTTTTTTTTTTTTTTTTTTTTTTTAATAAATTGAAGTATTGTGATAAAACATAGGCCGCAGGAATAGAGGAAGAATTTAAAGATTTATCTTGTACTCTACATCCTTGTGAAAATGGATAAAAAGGATTGAAGGGACTAGCTGAAGCAAAATGTGAGCTATAGGAAAAAATCTCTATTTTAACAGTGGAAAATGGCAGACTGAGAATTATTAAATCAATCTGCTCCTGATACTTTGGAGAAATTATTAACTAACAAAACCAACAATCATTCCTCAATGTCATAAAGTGATAATCAACAGATTATTTTTTCAACAAGAAACTGTAAAATAAATGTAATTCATTTTCTTTTGACCTACTATCAAAGAGAAGGAGGTAATGGGGATGCAATAAATGTGAAATACCTTGATTTTAGTCAACTTTCACGTTGTTTCTCATAGTGTTATCATAAGACAGTAATATAGAATTTAAACAAAATTGTAGTTGTGTGAATAGTTAGTTGAAAAACCTTATCCTAAAAGTGTCCTCAGTCTCCGACACTCATGTGGCAGCCCATACCTTTATGATGGACCTTCCACCTCTAGAAACCTGTCTCTTGTCTGGAGAAATACGACACAATAGTTACAAGTCTGCAGTTATTTCTGGAATCGCCCTAGTTCCTAAGCAGTATCTTGCTCCAGGGCTTGTGTTGCTTTTACTGAGAAAAAGGGCACTTATTGAGCCAAATCCTGTTGTCACTCACTTCACTAAGGGCAAGAATGGTATACATTTTTACAATATGCAAAGCTACATATTTAAGTTGCTAGTAATTTGAAAATGTGGCCTCTTTTCCCCTTCTTATCATGCAAAATACCAGGAGAGAGATTGATTAGAAATAGGGGAAAAAAGACAACTTACAGTAATGTATTTATAAACACAAACAAAGGAACTACTCAAGGACAAGATTTCCCTGTGGTACATACCTTGCACATGTCTGACAGCCAGTTTTCTTCTCCTTTATCTATAAAACCATGTACGACAAATCTGGTTATTCTACCGGTGTTAAAATTTGAGTACCCAATTGTTGCGGCATCAACGGCAGAGATCTCCTGTTAGATATATTAAATTAATACACATTTATATCTGCTTTCTGTAAATTATCAAAATTGCCAAGACTTGAATTATGTTCATCTCTACAGGCATTTAAAAATTATGCAAGGTTAAACTCCTCTGCAAGTGTTCACGTGGCTGTGGCTTAAGGCCTGTACCTCCATTCAAAGCAAGCTTTGACACACATTTTGGAGCCGCCAAGACTTTACTTTTAATGTGTTTTAATCTCATCTGTGGAAAAGAAAAATTATCCAATGGTTTTAAAAATGCACGGTTTCCCTGTACTTCTCAGCAGCCATACAGGAAACATGGGGGAGTGCTGCTTTGTGAGACCTGGAGGAGGATGAGAGTTCTGCCCCAGAGACCCTGCTAAGGAACTGGAAAAGGTTGTCTCTTGAATAAAGTAGAGGTTTGGCCATTTCTAACTTTCCAGGAACACAGCTGGAGTCTGTGTTTATTTACCCTTTTCACATGTGATTTACTAATGTTTAAACCGCAACAGTTCTTACCTGATAGACAGAAGGATTTTGTCTTGTGTACAGGAGGAAGTGAAGGTCTATTTTATCTGGACTCCAGGGTAACCTATGGATTGGTCTTTCCACAGTCCCAGACCATGGTATATCATCTGAGAAACATCCAATCCGGTCATAGCAAACTTGTGAACCTGTAGCACGCAAATCAGATTCATAATATGTGAATGATCAAGGAAGTGGAGCAGGCTGGTCATAGCTCATCGCATCTCTTCTCTGGAGGCCTCGTGGTTTCTGGAAAATCCTGTGGTTTACAGAAAGCAAAGGCCAGCAGTTGCCCTCTCCTAGATCTTCAAAGACTACAGCTCACCCCAGGGAAAGAAGCCAACCTATTGCTCATCAACAAAGTATTCAGAGGAGTTCCTCTGTAGGTATCTTATACCATACCTGGAGTATCTTTTCCCAGCTGTGTTTTGACTAAGGCAAAGACAGCTGATGAGTTTATCCTAATACCAAGCCAAGATATTGCAAATAATCAGCAACAACTGGGATGAACAGCTGACTATACCATATACAAGAAATCTTACACTACACAAGCCAGTAGTTTCTGCTGAATATAAAGCTATACCCTCACTAGCCTGCCTCTGCCTGCCACCCCTGGCTATTTCTCTATTTCCATCACTAAACAAGAATGCAACAAATAATCTCCTAGGTTTGGCAGAGCAATAGCTTTGCTCTGAGATAGAAAATACCAGTATTTCTTGCACACTCCTAGAGTGGGATTTCCAGAGTGGAGGAGAGGAAAGACAACACACACACACGCGCACATACACACACACACATCACCATTCTCATATAGGAAAATGAACCACACAACCTCAATCAGTAAGTTTTAAGGCACCATAGCATAGAATAATATCTCACAAAAAATAGCAGCATAGAAAGGCTATATAAATACTAACTCTGTATTCTTACCTTCTGCTGCGCTGAGCAGAAATAGTCCAAGTATCCAAATTCCGAGCATCTAGAAAGGTAGAAAAAGAAACAGCTAGGATTTAATGGCTTTAAGCTGAAAGAGGGTAGATTTAGATTAGATACTAAGGGGGAAGTTTTTTCCTGTGAGGGTGGTGAGGCAGTGGCCCAGTGTGGTGGGTTAACCTGGGCTGGATGCCAGGTGCCCATCAGGCCCCTCCATCACTTCCCCCTTCAGCAAAATAAAGGGGTAGAATAAGATGAAAATTTTGTGTGTCAAGATAAAAGCAGTTTAATGAAAACAAAGGCCAAAGCCATGCACAGAAACAAAAGGAAAACAAAGATGTTATTCTCTACTTCCCATCAACAAGCAATGTCTGGCCACCTTGCAGGAGGCAGAGCTTCAATAGGTGTAGCAGTTGCTCCTACAGGCAAATGTAATAACCAATGTCCCCTTCTTTCTCCCTTCCCTTGGATTTTATTGCTGAGCTGACAGCACATGGTATGGAATAGCCAATCCAGGTCAGCTGTCCCGGCTCTGCCCCCTCCCAAAGTGTGTTATAAACACCCCTCTGGCCACCAGTGCAACACTCAGCACTAGGAGGGCTACTGTGGGGATATTGACTTCATCTCAGCCAGACACAATACACCCAGGTTGCCCAGAGCAGCTGTGGATGCCCCATCCCTGGAGGTGTTCAAGGCCAGGCTGGATGAGGCTTTGAGCAACCTGGGCTAGTGGGAGGTGTCCCTGCCCATGGCAGGGGGGTTGGAACTTGATGATCTTTAAGGTCCCTTCCAACCCAAGATATTCTATGATTTCCTAACCCACTTGATTAGCAAGCATGCTTAGCTTTCTGGTGTGTCTATCTTCTCTGCAACATGTATCTATGGCCACTGCATATGTGATGCATATATATGGGTCAACTTTAAGTCTGCTTGCTCCACTAGAGATCGTGGGGCTCCTAAAGCATAGCTTATATCCAGACTGATTTTTGTCCTGTTGAGGCTATGCTTCTAATTGGATGTATAGTAGCTACTTTACAACTAGCATAAGGACACCTATGCGAGCTACCATTCCGCTTTATACTGCTCTGTCTTGGGAAGCCGTATACCTGATGCAGTAAAAGAAAAACCCCCAAACTTGAACTACTTACATTGCAGCCTTGAAGCTCCATGCACTAACATGCAAACTTTGTGTGTAGTTTTTATAGTCTGCTTTATCCTTGGAAATGTTCCCAGAAAGATAGGAACATTTATTTTAGATTATAAAATAAAGCTGGAAAACAACCTTAATCATTGGTTTATCTGAAAACTCCAAAATCCATGGACATAGATTTCTTGAACTGGTGTGCTGGAACCCAGAATAGCGTTTGAGCTCCAGAGGTAGGGTAATTCCCAGGCAGGAATAGGGTTTGAGCTCTAGAGACAGGGTAATTCCCAGGCAGCAACATGTCAAAGAGTGGACCATTAAACAGAATTCTGTGGATCTGTGTGGCAGTGCATTTAGGGGCTTGTCTAGGCTAGGCAGGCTTTTGTTTTTAGTGTTGTGTAGTTCGGATGTAGGGGGTCTACTGGGGGAGTTAGTAGGGAAATGCACTGTCTTTAAGTCCCCTCCCTTGCCATGCATCAAGAGACTTTGGATGTGGAACGCTCCCGTGCTTCTGGGTCTTCTGTGCCCATTTCCTGACATCAGCTCACTTTGGTGAAGCCTTATCCCTCTGCGAAAACTTCTTAGTGTGCCTGGTATGTCCTTTCATAGTTAAAGAGTCTGATCTTCTCCTGGTGTGCCTCTCATTTCCTTGTTGAAATAAGTAGATATAGAAAGACAATTGTCTGTCCCTTTGGATCCCTTCTGTACTGCCCATGTAACCCAAGTTTTGAGAAAGCCCTTCTCTGAGTGATGAACTAAGAGAAAACATGCTGTAAATAGAGACAAATAACACACAAAATTTCTTCAGACATTGCTACATGGCTGCTTTGTGTAGTGATGCTACAGAGTAGGTTGTTCTACTAGAGACGTCAACTAAAACTGACCAATCTGGTGGCCTTCTATGATGG